AAAGCTGGGGGGGGCTGACAGTCCACACCACAGCCATTCCCACTGAGCCATCTCATGTCTAGGGGGCTAAATGCACCTTAAGACATAAATCAGTGACTTTAAACCAGCAATGAAATCAGCCTGTTTCTCTGATGCACCCTGCTGTGATATATTAATAACTTTTTGCTTTCTATAGTAAATTCTGTCAGAAATCATAGTCCAATTCCAAATTATACCATTTACCAAGCCTAATGCAACTTTAAGGACATTACACAGTATTTTGTCTAAGTATTTTAAATCAATCATGATTCAACATGCACATTTTTTAATTTTCCTAGTGGTGTGTAATTGCATTTGAAGCTTAGGATTTTGCTGCTTTGGTGGGAAAGACACATCTAGCTTTCCACACTCATGTAGGGAATACATACTTTGGAGATAGTGTAATGTGAAATTCCTCCACTGAGAAAATCAGAATGACATCTAAGGAAACTGCCTGAAGATCTCAGAGCCAGGTTTAAGCAGTGGAAAGATAATTTCTGTGCTAACACTGCCACCCATCGAAAAATAAGAGGCACAGTCATTGTATGTCCCTGTTTTCCTCTCTTCTTCCTCTTTGGTATGCTGCAGTGTTTTCATGGATGTTTTCTCCTCATTGCTGTCTTTAATAATGTTATCAGGTACAAATTGTATATAAACTAAACCTGTGGTAGGTCAAATATAGCTATAAACCAGAAGATAAATTGTCTCCAGAACAAAATCAGTAACATGTGGAAGTCTCCCTGTGAATGGTGACAGGGAGCTACTGACCCCCAGCACAAAAATATGGCATGTATAACCATATATAACTTTTTCATGAAAGTACATGCAGAGCCCTGACCCAACAGCATTCCACCAGCTGGGCTCTACCCTGGGAGAGCTGACCTTTTCCTTTGTTAGAGGAAGAATCTCCCTCTGACCTCTGGCTATTTTCTCTGCAGTTCTTATACCTTTTTTATCTCCTGCCTCATGAATGTTAAGATCAAACCACATGATTGCTTTTTGCTTAACTTGGCTCTTTACCTTGTGGTGGAGTGGTGGTTTCCCCTTGATGCAGCCCAGAGTTGTTTCCTTGCCCTGGCTGTGGGAGGTTTCCTCATCTTCAGGTGTCTCTGGTTTCACAGCTTCTTCCCTGAATCCTGCTTTCACCATTTCCTCTTGCAAATTGTTAACATCCATCTCATACAACGGCCATTAGCAGTGAAACACTTGAACCATGCAATTTTACAGTAAATTCCCTTGCACAAAGATTTGATTTTCTTTATTATCTCCTGCATTTCCCAAGAGTTACCCCTGCACCTACAGCAGAGGGAGTTAATTTAGCTCAGGAAACCAGCTGCTCTCTCCTTCCCTAACTCATCTTTTGCTCTGCAGTCCTCTCCCACTCTCAGCTTCTGGTCAAAGTTATTCTTGTTAGTAAAGCCAGCACGAGGTACATGAGGGATGTAAAGGCTGTCCTTGGGTCAACAAAAAGACCCAAGGAGACTCTTTTATGAACCTTGCAAATATGAAATAAAATGATTTTTAAAAGGCAAACTGTCATACTTTAAAACAATGCTCCTTCTCTTTTCCAATTAGCAAAAACCCAATCTTGCTTATGACTAAAGTAGTAAATCACTTTTTTTAAACACTTATAACTTTTTTTTCTGGAAAGTGGAGTTAATTATGTTTTTTCTATTGAGCAACATCATATAAATTATGGTGTTCAATAATAATATTCAATAATATATGGTGTTCAATAATATTCAATAAGATATGAACCCCAGGGTTTTATTAAGTGACTGCATCTCCTCTGCGACTAGAGATAAAAAACTTACCAGGATGGCACAGATGGAAAGGTCATTAACAGAGGTAGAAAAATCCATCTGCAAATCTCACTCTGTAAAGGGTTTTACATAACAGCTCAATCTCACTGAGATGCTATTGAATAACAGGCAGCACGCTGGAAATCTTCTAATGCAGATCCACAGCCTGGATTTATGGACAGGGGGTTAAATCATTGTATTGCTTATTGTCTGAAGGATGGAGAGTGGAGAGTTCTGGACTGGTGATTTATTAAATATTGATGCTGTTATGATTCTTTCAAAATGAAAAAAAAGACAGCTCAAAGAATGATTTTTTTTCTTCATTTACCAGAGTTTCAGAAATGAGCAAGTCTCCAGAAGTTCTTGAAAAATTTAAAGACTAACCATTTTTCAATTAAATAGCAACATTGAAAAATGAGATGCTAAAGGCAATAAGATACTGTTTGGGTAACTAGAGAGTTAGCCCTGGACAGCTTTAGTTAGGACTTCCCATGCAATATTTTTACCTTCATGGAAGAGTGTGAACTGTTTCACAAGACAGAAGTTTATGAGGTGTGTAACCAGAGTTATCCAGTTCCCCAGCTGATGGAAAGTCCCTCCAAGTCCAATGCTCTCTCTGTTGTTTTATGATCTGAGGTTGCAGAACTTCTTTCCAGTTCTTACCACAGTTCTGGCAAATCTAAGATGCTTAGCTGCCACTTCTTACTCCTTAGCTGGATTCACTTATTCTCTCAGGTTATCTAAATTTTCACCTGATTTGCTAAATACATGGTAAAGGAATAAACTGCAACAATCTGACCACTAAACTTGAGCAGCACAAAATCAAAAAAATCTAAATGGGCAACAGTAAAACTTACACAACTTCACTGTTGCATTTCACTGTATTTGAGAAACCTGTGTGTAAGCACAGATATATTTGTTTTGAGTAGGCTTCACACAATTGTCACTGCTTGCAACTGAAATTCTCCTTAAGATACAAGAATTACTACAAGATCAACTTACACATCTTGATTGGAAGTTGATCTTTCTTAATGATTTGCATTCTCCCATTCTTTCCTTACTGCCCTACAGAGATGTACATTAATTTTTCTACATAATTTTGTGTGCAAGATTATTGGAACAATGCTGCTTCCAGGACTTAGGGTGAATAACTAAGAAAAAAAATTGGAATGAAAAAATTTTAATTACTTGGAGGAATGAAAACAGTCTCCTGGTTATGTCCTATTAGGCCAACCTCCTAACACCTCACTTAAATTTGCATACCCCCCCCAGTTTAATGTCAGCAGATGAATTTAGAATACAAGATCCTTTTCACCAAAGGCAAAGGTAACCCTGTTTTGTCTACTTGCAAAATATTATTCCATCCATCCCTCAAATAGCCATTGACCTCATTCTAATGCAAATTGTAAATTTAAATTCTATGCAGCACCTGCCATGGAAGTAAATAGGTACTTTCAAATACTCCCAAACAATGTTTATAAAAATATTTGAATAACTGCTGAAGTGCAGGGATCAAATATGCTTGAACCTGGGACTTCAGAGCTACAGACAGAAATGAAGCTGTGTGTCACCCCTTGCAGGAAAAATAATAATGATGGACTGAGCCAAGTGAATCCCTAGAGGACAGCTCTGGTTTCTAATACATGTATCTTCTAACTCAAGGAGCCAGAAAATTTCAGCAGATTTTAGCAAGATTGGATTTCCTCATTTCCTCATGGTCAATAAAGCACAAAATATTTTTTTTTTTCATTTACAACAATTAAGTTATAATATTAAGTTAATTCCCTAAGAATAGTGCTGATGAATCAAAAATGCACCTCCAGCAACTCCATATACAAAGAAATTTAGCAGCAGAAGCTAATTTAACAAGGAGTAATATACAATTTAAAGACTTTCAGAACAGTCTGGACTGTTGTCCCAAATTTGCACAATTATTCCAACATCAAAGAGAATCCAGGTACCCAGCAGCAATGGCATTTCTCTTTTTTTTTTTTGCTTTTTGACTGGCCAGAAGCAGCCAAGAAATTGAAAATACTGAAGAGAAGGACTCTTCAGCAGGACCAGAATGCAACTGAAAATACTGGCAAGGACTTCTCCCCACAGCTGGATGCCCAGAACCATTCTGTGCATGTGCTTGTGTGCAGGGGTAAGAAATTGCAACTCATCCATTGCTTGGACATTTAAATAAAATATTTAAATAATTTAAATAAAGCTAAAAATGCTAAGAAGTTTACCTGCCATTCCATGTGTCTGGTTTTGAAGTGAAGCTGCTCTGTTTATGCAGAACACTTGTTCTGTTTACTCTGTGCCCTCAAAACAACAGACAGACTCACAATCTGTGAAAACCATGGACTAAATGAGGAGCACAGAGGACTGGAGAAACTGAGAAGTAACTAACAGTTTTTCCTTGCCTCAGGCCACACTCCTGCACAAGGCAATTATTAAAGGATTATGAAACAGAAGCAGGCACAGACAGCTTTATTTCCTGTCACCTCTACACTTCTGTTGATGAACATGCAAGGCTTAAGTTTCAGAACAGCCCAAATAAGAAAACTAGGTCATGCTCAGGAGGAGTCATATTTGAGAATGTATCCATCACTAGAGGTGGTGGGTGGACCAGGTGCCCACCAGGCCACTCCATGCCTCCCCTTCTCAGAGGGACAGGGGAGATAAAATATGACACAAAACAACTTGTAGGTTAAGATAAAGCAGTTTACTAGAAGAAAAGTTTGTGTGTGCATAAACAAAGTAAAAAAAAAAGAGAAATTTTATTCAGTTCTTCCCATTGGAATGCCCAGCCACTTCCTGGGAAGCAGGGCTTCAGCATGGAAGTGATTGCTTGGGAAGGCAAACACTGCAAAAACTGAATGCAGCACCTTCCTCCTCCTTTTCTTATCTTTGATACCTGAGCTGATGTCATACATTGTGGAATGCCCCTGTGGCCAGTTTGTGCCAGCTGGCCTGGCTGTGTCCCCTGCCAGGACCTTGCCCACTCCCAGCCTCCTCAAGGCAGGTGGTGACATATTTTATGAAAAATCCCTTTGCCAGGATCTTTTCTCCTGAGAAGCTGGGAAGCTTCAGCTTCTCCATGTTTTGCTACTTTGGAATGTGATCTGGAGAATTGTTTACCCAGCATGTGAATTGTTTTTACTTGATGACAAATCAAAGGTCCAGCTGTGCTGGGATTCTGGTCAGTCACAGGTTTTTATTATTCATTCCTTTCTAGCTTTCTGATGTCTCCTTTCTTCTCTTTCTTTAGTATAGTTTTAAGATATCATTTTCTTTTAATACAATATATATTGTAAAATAATACATCAGCCTTCTGAAACATGGAGTCAAGATTGTCATCTCTTCCCTCATCCTGGGACCCTCAAACACCACCATAAGGTGGAATGCTGGAGAGAAAGAGCTGGGCCAGCACTGCTCAGCTGCACCAAAACACTGCTGGGCTCTCAGCAGGGCAAAGCACAGCTCTGTGAGGGCTGCTGGGGAAATAAACTCCAGCTCACACACACCCAGGACACCAGAGTAACTATATTTTACACTCATTCCAGATAGCTCTGTTCAAGTGCATTCCTTTGCTCTGAATGTATATATTTGATAGATGGAAACAACAGAATGTGAACACCAAGGCAAAACTACCAAAGAAGAATACCCAGGAAAATATCAGTGTCTCCTTATTAGGCTTAGGTTATTATTAATATTGAATATAGAATTAGTCCTCTCTTTTAGGAATCAAAGTATTATTATAGTAGTTATAAATAACTACTATAATTAGTTACTTTAAAATTGTAGAGTTCTTGGGGGAAAAAAAGGTTGCTATACATTTCTCTAAATGATATTATTGATCTGTCCAGATAAAGAGCTCTTATTTGAATACTACAAATTATTTCACCATATTAAAAAAATAATAGATAAGACCATAAAGCTTTTAGCTTACAGAAATGTAACTATAACATGTACATTTCTCATATTCTTACTGGAGGTCAGCAATTCATTGGAAAGCTGGGAGATCCATGTTCTTCTTCCTTCCATAGAGAACATCTAGATTTCATTACCAAAACTCCTGCTTGCTGATGCTTAATTACCACTATGCTCAAAAAACATGAAGTCCTAAGGGGACAAAAAAAGGCAAACAAAACAAATAATTACAATTATTAAATGTGGTTCTTAGTTCCAAGATCCCCTGGCTGCATTGCACCTGATGTACACCTTCCTCTAAGAAACCTGAAAGGCTGAGAAGAAGGGGGAGGCACATTTGCCATGCCCTCACCACCTGGGTCTCTCAGAATGGGACATCACAGAGACAGAAAGATAGTGAAAGACCAACATGGGAACTTCTAATTTATAATTAATTAATAGCCAAAGCTATGCTTCCTTTACTCTGGATTTCTGCTCTGACTTTGTTCAACCTTATTCCCTCTCATTTTCCCTCAGACTGGAGTCCTTTACAATAATGGCTGCCTTTAGTTTACTGGTGGGGGCCCCATTTCTGTGCCTGAAAGTCCAGGTTGCTCCCACTCACTAATGCTGCACTTGATGCATTGGTAGCACAGGAACACACACAGTTAACAAAATCCTGCTCATGCTCAGGCTGTCACAGGCTGGAGAGGCCTTTCCAAACTCAGGGCCCTTTCCTGCCCCTCTGCAGCCCAGCCAGCACAGAAGCAGTGCATGTTGTATAATGGTACCTTGATGCAGAATTGTACTGCACACTGGAGCATGTTCCACACTGCTTTCAAACAGGACACTGAGCTGCTCTGCACTATTGACTATTGCTGAGAAGTGCTCTGACGAGTTCCATGAGCTCAGCCTCCACAGTAGTCCCTCCCTTTGGAAATTACTGCTCTGAGAGCATCAATCCTGCTCAGTCCAGTGCTTCACATGCTTCCAAAGAGAGATGGGAGACAGTGGCTGCAGCATTCAGCTGCCCACCAGCCCAGTGGGCTGCCTGGGCTTTGGACAATGGGTCTCTTGGCTATTTCTAATCTGTATTTTTCTGCTTTCACCATCCATAAATTTGCTTTCCTCTGCTAACGAGTCTGTAAGAAGTCTTCCCTTTTCATTTTTTCAGTCCCACCAAACATGAAACTCTTATTAAATACAATTATCTCTGCATGTAGTCTAGAATAAGCATATTGTCTAAAATAATTCTGTGCTGCCTTTTGTGGTCAGTTTTACACATAGAAGTTCACAAGCTGAAACCCACTTGAAGGAGCTCAAAATTAACTTCTTTACCATCACAATTTAAACATGGAGATGAAAAATTTAGTTTATGTTGATGTATTAGTGAACAACTTACAATCAGGAAGCAAGCACCAATCATGACAGCTTTCATTTTCACATCAAGGTCCATTGGGAATGAGATTCCAAAGTTATCTGTGTCTGTAAACATTTCCCTCACCATACCAGTCCACTGCTTAGAAATCCTCCCAACAGGACAAGTCTCATCCAGAGACATCACCTATAGTTTAATATAAAAGTTTTAAAAGCATCATCAAACCTGTCATTCATAACATTCCCAAATCCATTTTGGAATAGATCCATTTAAAAGCTTCAGACTGTTATTTTAATTAATACAGTAATTAGTGCAAGGGTTTGTACCAAAAGGCAATCAGACTATCAGAAAGTTGGTCTAAAGTATCAGAGGTGTGAACTTGATTCTGAATCTGACTGGGAAGTTCAATTCCTTGATGGTGCTGGGATACACACTCTGCTGGAAGTGCTGTCTTTTAGCCAGGACAGTGAATTAGTTTCTCTTGCCACTCATCAGGAACTGCTCAAGTGAAAATTAAACAAATTACATTCTTCTGCTCAAAAGCAGAGGTTAGCCCTCTGGCAACATTACATTTATCTAAAGTTAGAGCCACTCTTCTGGGTCATGTGAAAGATTAGTTTCCAAACTAAAATTATATAAATTTGCTGTAGTAACTATTTGCAACATTATTTTAAACATTAAATTGTAGCTTTGTTATCTTTTACTTAATGTCCACAAAAACAATGTTGCATTAACCAATATTATTTTAAAAGGAAAATTGTAACTCTTCACTCGTTCAACTCTGTATTTCAAGTCTAAATTATCTTCACTTAGTAGTTCATTGAATGATTATTAGATGATTAAATAAAGGGTTGAAGGAAGTCATTTTAATAAATACCTGATACAACTTATTATATTTTCCTTAGACCCTGACATAACAGATTCAAAAAGATTTTGCTGCTAAATATATCGATTAAGTTATTTCTGTGCAGCCACAGAGAATTCTAGTGATCACTGATGAGTGGCTTTAACACGTAATTTCTGGAAGTTTTTCTGGTTTATCTAGAGTAATTTAGGTATCTAGAGAAGTCATTTGATTATACCAGCATTAAAAGATGATGTAGAAATTACTTAATATATACAATTCAATTGATAGGTAGTAAGTTGAGCAACAAACTAATACCAAACTACTATCTCAAAACAGACACATGCAAACAATTTTTACATTGCCTACCTCAAAATGAATGTCCTCACAACACCGGCACACAACACATGGGCCATTAATTTTCAGAATATCCTTTCTTTTCTCATCTTGAATGGTAAACTTTGGCAGGCAGACATGCCAGTTCTGGACAACATAACCAACTATTGTTCCTGGAGGTGCCTGGACTTCCAGCTTCACAAGGAAGAGAAAACCTCCGAGTGAATGATCATGCTGTCACATGCTAGTGAGACAAAACCCACACCAGCACACAAATGAAAAACAACCTATTTTTCCACAATAACCTGGCCTTACAAAGCATTTTGCTGTGAGTGTTTTCAGAAGACCACTCAGATTGCAGACTTCTTATTCAGCTTTTGCCTTCAAGAAAAAAGTAAGAGACTCCTCAGGCTCTGGAGGCACACAAGCTATGCATCCACAATATAAAGACCAAAGTCCAGTGAAAGAAAGGCAGTGAATATCCCAAAAGCATTCAGTGAAGGCATGGTAGGGTGCAGCTACTACAAATGCCTCAGCAGGAGCTCTGAGTAGGCTTAGACTTAGAGTTTCAGAAGTTGTATCATTCCAGAATTATGTTAATATTTAAAAAACCTCATGATCTCCTATGTTGAATGCCACTATAGCTTTCAGAGCTGTAAAATGAAAACTAGCTGTTAGTCTCTGAAAGCTGTTGCCTTCTTGTTCCATTCCAAATGCAGATTTCAGCACCAGCCACAAGTTCCCCAGCATGCTGCTCAGTCAGACTTTCCACTACCCCAATCAGAAGCGGCCAGCGAGCCCAAGTGCTGCAGCTCACTTCCCTCTGCCCAGACCAAGAACCCCACAGATCTCTCTTCCCACCCCTTACTGGCAAAACCCTGGCTCATTTCACCTCAAGGCCACCTTAGAGCTGCACAGGAGGTGCCTGTCTGAGGAGGAGGAGGAGGGGGAAGGCAGAGAGAAGCAGAGAGAGGCAGATCTCACCTCCTGCAGGCAGCAGGGGCAGCAGCAGGCGCTGCAGCGCAGGGGCCTGTGCAGCCTTATCACCTCACGGCCCAGGTTATCAGTTATCCTCATGGTGAAGGGCCGGGAGGGCCCGCAGCAGTTCCTGGTCAGGCAATCAGTGTCCTCTGCTGCAAAGTACACCCTCTGCCCCAGGGCGTTCTTCAGCTCGTATTTGTTGTTTTCTTCAAAGCCAGTCACAACTGAAAAATGAGGAAAAACCAGCTAAATTCCTAGGAGGGTCTGGTCAGACAATTCCTGCTCTTGGGGAAGGCAAAGCCTCTCTCAAAGTCTGTCAGAGGCAGCTCCTGGCGAAGGGAAATGATGGAAAGGACCCTCAAGCAGTGAAGCCTGATGAAGAAGTTTAAGGGAAGAAGCCACCATGAGCAAGGACATGTGGGAAAAAACTGAGATTCCCATCTGTCCCCAGTGTCCCCCCCCGTCCACAGGCACCTGAATAAGCACCACCATTACCAATAGCACAGCAGGGAAGGTTCTCAGGGGAGAACTGAATGGAAAGAGTTAAAGAAAGTTGTGAATTTGGGGGTGAAGCCAGAAAAGGGCACAAATAAGTTCAGAATAAGAAGCCACAAAAAACCCTCCCAGTCAAGAATTACAGCAGCACACATCAAAAGCAACAAGAGCCAGGACAGAAATTTTAATTAATTTCTATAACAAATGAGAGCACTCTTATAAGCTGTAGAAAGAACCAGAAAGAAAAATGCAGCAGCAATGTTAGAGGTTATCTGGGAAGTATGGTCTATTTTATTCCTTCTATTTGACAGGCATTGATAACACAACTTGGATCTTCTTAAAGCACAGGATGAGGGGAGCAGAAGGAAAGCCACTCAGTTTGCTAAAATAGCAGGATTGCCTGTAAAAGGGATCAAAGCCACATGCTAGTCCATGGATTTAGGTGGGATATGACAAGACAGAAAATAAAATCTTTAAGTAAGGAAGAGAGTAGAAATCATTGTTAACAGTAACATTGGAAATGTGTGGCTTCATCTATATTTAGCTATATATATCAACTACAGCATTTATAACCAAGATTATTCAGTTGCATTGCTGTGTATCTTTTGAGATATGGAACCTGCTGAAAATCTTCTTCCTTCCTATTTTTCCTTCCTCTCCTCCACTTCTTCAGGACTTCTGCAGGAATTGAGACAGGTAATACAAGACAAAGGTGGTAATCACCTTAAAAATAGTGTCAAATAAAGCCTAAACTTCACTCTTCTTGGGATTATTAGATTTAAATACTTTGTACTTACTCTCAAGAACTTCAAGTTGCTGATGAATTAATATCTGGTCAATCTGGTCATGGTTGAAAAATTAAACAGAAGAAACAGTTAACAAGTTACAACTGAGAAAAACTGTTGTTTCAAGAATCGCTGCTGTTTCATTTTAGAATTAAAATGTATGGATCAATACCCTGTGCAGAGGCAGATTATCTCCCATTTGAGCTATGGAAGAGCTCACTCCCCTCCCTGGCCTGTCCCCTGCCAGGTTAGCACAGAGTGCTCCAGGGCACGGAGCTGATGGGGGAGCTGAACCCAAACTGCTCTGGGGACAAGCACACAGGGCTCACACACCTGTGCCCCTTTCAGGACTCAGAGCCTCAGAGAGCTCTCACATCATGACCCAGAGACTCCACACAGACAAAAGCAGGAAATGGGGGTATTTTGGAGTAGAAGCCCAGCTACTGCTCAGCTCTAAGGAAAATTCAGGGGAAAATCAGCCTCTCCTCACTAGTGAGGTTTTTTTTTGCCCCTTTTTTCTTTTAGCACTTTGCAGAACTGGCAGCAATACATCAGTATTAATCTTTCCAGTGCTGAGATGAACTGTATTTTACACTACAAAGACATACTCAGTAATGTGGAAACAATCCTAATTTTGCTATTAGTGTTCTCTATGCTGTGAAGTCTGACTGGCAGCTCTACTAACAATATTAAGAGGTATGAAGAAAGCATCATATAGAAAATTAAGTGCTTCTAATGTGCTAGAGTTTCCCATATAATAAGCATTTATTCTATGCACCTTTTCAAAATACATTACATCTCCCAAAGAGTAACTTCAGAAATGGGAGGGATGTATGACAGACCTCTGTCTCTGATCCTTTAACACTCTACTTTCCAGAAAGATTCTCCATGACCAAGTGCTGCATCTCTAACAGGTATCTCTGCATTCAGACAATAGAAAAGGCTCCACTTGGCAGCAGGAGCCTATTCAGCTGCATCACAGCCAGATGCTTTATTTGGCTATTTCATGGGTGCAGGCTGCTTCCCAGAGCAGAATGCCTCATCTCTAGGGAAGGAGGAAGGGTGCAGGTACCTGTGTGAGGTACTCCAGTCCAGGAGGGCAGTTGGGAATAGAAGGAGGGATAGGCATCCAGATGGTCCCATCCATGGTGGGCTGGCTCTGGACAGGTGGAGGGACAAATCCACCTGGGAACCCCATGGGCTGTGCCTGGAATCCATAGTTCCCTGCACCTGTGACGTTTGGCATGGTAGGAGAGATGTGGTTATGAAAGTTAAATGTTGGAAAATAATTGCCCTGTCCATCTTCAGAAGAGTAACTTATTAACTCTTTGGAACTATGGAGATCCTTATACCTTATTTATTTCAGTTATGAATACAATAACTCTCATGAAGGGAGTTACACTGTCGTGGGAGGTTCTGATGACTCACACAAAACCAAACCAAATAGATAAAAAAAATTGCACCATTCTTAAATACAGAAGAAATTTCATTCACATAGAGACAGTCAATTCAAAAAACAGAAATAAATAAATGAAGGTTATTTCTAAGTAGAGAAGAAAGAATACTTTAAATTACATTAAAAGCATTGGCTTTTATGCACTGTCAGTTGAGCAAATGAGGAATTTCAATACAAAGTTTTCCTGGAACTATACCTTCTACTTTTGTGAAAGGAAATGTCCTTTTAGCAAAGTTCATCTATAGTTTTCAAACAGTTGACTGGTAGACTTTCAGGCCACACCAGTTTAGCACCAAATTTCACAATACATCACAACACATGATCCAGTGCACGTGAAAGTTCAGGCTGTGGCCAGGGTGCCTCAGGTGATGTAAGGTGGCCACATCACTGACCTCAGAGAAGAATCCTCCCTTGGGAATTCAAAATCACTTTTATGTCTGAGCACAGGCTTTGAAAACCAACTACCTCCTGCTATTGTGGGCAAGTGTGTGCACATACAATTACTCAAAATAACAATGCCCCTGCAACTTCCACGGCACAAGCAGTGAGTGCTTGCTCCCTGCTACAGCCAGCTGTACTTACACACCTCAGAGCGCCTTGTCCCAGGATGCACAAGCTTTAATTTATGAACAGCACAGTAACTTTGGCCAAACATTTTGCTTTTTACCTCTGACTTATGCTCTGAGCCTGATTGTTAGATATTTATTGTGATTTGGTTCTTCAGAAAGAAATCATTGCCAGAATGAGAGAAGCTGTTCAGGAGGGCTGCATTTTGAAGTGGAGCAGAAAACGAGACAGAAGAGGAGAGAGCAAGTGAGGGAAAGTGTAAGGTGTAACCACCTGCAAAGTACAGCAACAGAGTAAGAAACAGGAACTGAATACATGCAGAACTGCAAGAGAAAAACAAGTCTTTCTTCACTTCTGTACTTCTATAGGAAAATAAAGGAAACACTGAAGTAACATGGCAATTAAAAAGTCTGATTACCAGTAAGAACCTGCTGCACATGAATTGCATTCAGTAACATCCAGCAAACCTGCCTAGCAAACTCCCCACAGTGACCACTGAGGAACACCTGACATTTTTAACTCCTACCCCTGCTTAGCACATACTAAAATGTAGAGCCACAAAGGAAAGAAATGACCTTTCAGCAAAACAGAAGTTAAAAGAAACTCCATAGAATTAATAGCAGAAAGGTAAATTGGAGATGATCACCCTTTTCTGACCCCATATTCCCCATGCTTATTTCCCAATGGTCTCACAGATCTGTAACCAAGCCACCCACCTTGGTAAGCCCCAGGGACCTGCTGAGGGGAGCCATAGGGCATTCCAGGTGCTGTGGCAGGTGGAGGTCCTGGAAGAATGAAAATACACTCTGAGTATGGATCATTTCCTCCTGCCCTGGGTGAAAGATCCCCAGCACTGACTTCTTTTCCAGAGTACACACAGAACAAAATCTAGGCAGCTGTTTTCTGTACAGCAAAAATACACATCAAGATCGTATTGATGAGCAATGTATGCATCAACAAAACTGACTGGAGTTCTGGTCCTTAAAGCACAGAAAAAAGACAGGTACTGCACAGGATGTCATGAAGATGTCACAGAATCACAGAATTGTTCAGCTGGGAAGGGACCTCCTGAGATCATCCAGTCCAAGCAGGGTCAGTTCACTCTGCCTGGAGCAAAGATGCTTTTGTTCATTGATATTTAGAAAGAGGCTTGAATTCAAAGCATTGCCAGGAACTGACAGGCTGCCCTCCAGTACAGAACATGGCAGAGAGCCATTCCCCTCTGTGTAAAAACTTTTCTCCCAGCTTCTTCAAGTTGAGATTACAGTAATGCCACACCAGCAGATGAGGAGTGTTATGGATTTAAAAACATTTACCATCTTCAGTTTTTAATAATAAGTAACTTGAATTTTAAGATTACTAAATTATTTATTATTTTTGCTTAACTTCAGAAATCAAGATCTGAAAATATAAGCTCTACATTTTGTAAAATCTTCCATTTTAAAATGTAAATAATTTCAGGTTAAAACGTTCATACATATTTCATATAATTAGAAGGTAAGCTAATAGCTAAGCTAATATTGCTTGAATGTGCTGTCTTTGATGTTAGCAAAAGTTGACATTTTGGTTATATTTTACTCACCTTGCATTGCTGAAGATCTGCTTGTAATTCTGCAAAAGAACATTTTTGTCTCATGATTTTTTACATACTTTCACATAAGAGCTATTCAGAGTTCTCTATTATTGATAAAATATATTTGTCTCTCTAAACCATATGGGAAAGTCAAATTACAAATACAAGCAAAAAAACCCTTAAATATCTCAGCTTCCTTCTAGGCTATGTCTCAACTACTACTTAAATCTGTGTTTTCTATGCCTACAGTCATGCTTTGAGTATCCTGAAATCATCCTCAACTCAGAAGAGCATTGGGATGTGCAAGACTCCACTGTGCAGCCATTCAGAAATATCCTGTAATTCATATGAACAATTTACTGCAGTAATTTAAGGGCAGCTGGCTCAGTGTTTTGATGTTGCCCACAAAACCTGCTCAGGTAAACCAGTTCTTCAAGCTATTCCATTTCTCTAGTGGTACTACTAAATAACACATATCCAATATTTGCCTTCACAGGATAACAAAGTGTGGTTACCAAGAGAAATAAAAAAAAAAAAAAAAAAAACTAAAACCAACCAAACAACACAGCCCACAGCAAAAAAAAAAAAAAAAAACCAAAAAACCACACAAAACAATCTAACCCAAACAAAAACAACACAAAAAACCCAAAAACCCCCACTTACTGATACCGCTTAAACCTTGAGAGTTATCTCTTTCTCTGGGGTAATGAGTGAAGCAAGACAACAGCAGCAACTGCTATTACAGACAGATCCAAAACAGCCAGGAGATCAAAACATGGAACTGTAAAAAAGAATGCTACAGGCACTCATTTTTAATAAGATTGAAAGCTTTAAATAAAAAAAAAAATCTAGTTGTTCTCTAGAAATAATCCAATTCAAGTTAAACCATGAGTATAATTTGTCTGTTATTATTCTTCTAACTACTTCATTTCGATGAGGATGGCTGGTCAAAGCTGGGAAGTGAAACTGAAAGCAATTCCTTCCTGTTTTTCATTCTCTGAGTAAAAGCAGCTCTCACGGGGCGATGTCTGATTGCTTCTGGAATGTCATGCAGATTCAGTTGCTCTTAAATTCTTTTTAATATACTTCTTCTTCTACTTTACCAACTCTTCTTTACTAACAAATTCACTGTCCTGTTACGCATACTTTAATTGGGTTCTGGTCATAGGGTAGATTGGATTGTAGTCACTGTAGGAATGTAGGAATATCACAAATTATAGAAGAATAAAACTAGCAAAAGATCAGTTTATGCAGTGAAATGTTCCAGCAACATGAACTTCAATGAAATACTGAGAATTATAACTAAACCCCTTGGTAAAGGGAGAGTAGAGAGAGAATCACATGATTTATTTAAAAGAAAGGCTTTGTAATCGTCCAGAATCTTTCATTGTCCCTATAATCACACACACCAGCCACTGTACAATCTAGGATTTAGAAAAGGTTGATGTGCTCTGTAGTAGGAAGCAATAAAGATTTTACAAAGCTCAGCCCTCATTTCATCCCTAGATCCTTTTTTATGAATGCCTATGTTTCTTTCTCGTCACTTTCTCATTTTCAGAACTACATAAACCAGCTGCATGTCCCTTAGCCTGATGCATGTCACTAGATATGCTGCAAGTAATTATGTCCTAATTATGTTAACTATAGGTCTTCTGCTTTTTATCAGAAAAATAGAATACTAGCATGACAAGTAGATTCATTTCTTCTCCAGCTCAGTAAAATGTTGCAAAGAGAACGTTAATGTAATGTAAGCTCCCAAGCATAAACGTGCTTAGTTACACAACAAGCCAGGCCCTTTCCAAGATTTCCAAGAAGTTGTAATCAAAAAGCAGGAAGCTGAATAACCAGGAGGCATGCAATAGTTTCAATAGTTTTCCTTTTGAGGCTTTTTTTTTGTTGTTTGTTTTAACGTTGCATTCTCTTAGACTGTTCAGCCCCTGGATTTGAACCCTGACCGCTGGAGAAACAGTATGCTTAAAAAAACATCTCATTGATCTATTTAAATGAGTTGGTTAAGATGTTAATGTTAAGAAAATATTATTCAGAGGAGGAATTACTCTTTCTTTTGTTCTGACGGAGAAGGATACGGAAGGATACCCTGTCCCTTACAGTGGCTTTTCTCCCGGGAGCGCAGCCCCGGCAGCACAGCCCGGTCCCCGCTCGGGGCTCAGGCTCGGCGGGACATGGAGCGATGCGCCCATCCCCGGGCACGGGGCCGCGGCTGCCTCGCCCGAGGGGCTCTCCGGGACAGCCCGGGCAGCTGCACCAGCAGCACCTCCCTTAACCAGTCCCTGCCAGCGAGTTCCTCCTCTGCAGGGAGCAGTTCCAACCCAGCCGCGCTGCCCAGCCGGACACACGCGGGGCTCCCCGCCCCAGCCCCGCGGATCCCTGCCCATGCCGTGAGGAGAGCCCCGGGATACCTGGCGGGAGCGCCCGCAAGGAGCCCCGCTCGCTGAGGAGGCTCCGCTGTGCCCGTGTCCGTCCCGGGAGCTCCCAGCGCTGCGGGGCGGGAGCGAGGGCAGGGCAGGCAGCAGTTTCCTGCCCGGAGCCCAGCCCTGCCCAGAAACGCCGGTATTTCAACAGCTTCGCTATTCGTGACATTTTCTTTTTCCATGTCTCTCGGCAACAATGCTGATTCAGTCCTTTTACAATTAATTAATTCATTAATTAGCTCAATTTCTGCCGTTTAGTTAGCGGACATCAGGTTGCATACACGTGATAACGCCAAGTTCTATATCCACCCTGAAAAGAGAACAAATGTATCTGGAACAATTTTGCCTTGCTTATAAGGCAGGATCTCAGGAAGAAAAATATATTTATGTGGACTTCATAGTTACAGGAAGAAGAATGTACAACAATGAATTGTTTGGGAAACAAAGGACTTGGAGAAAGCTGGCTCACACCCTGCTTAACAGCTCTGAGGAACAGATCTTCTGCATCCTCTTTTGTACATTCATGCACATCAGATTGGAGCTGCTGGTGTCCACATATCCCAAAGGAAAGTTTATTCAAAGAAAACTGTATTTCATGTAAACCACATCAATTAATCACAGTAATTGGTGCATGCATAAAACCCAAGACTGGGGATTCAATAAGTGCAGTTCACCTTGTACATACTCTGTAGTCTTTGTCTTCAACCTCCCAAAATAAGGTCTCCATTTCAATATTGAACTTTCCATAAACAATATTAAACCAAAAAAACCCCACCCCAAACTATTGTTCTAGCCCTGCACTCGATTTCACCTAAACACCAGATTTGACAGGGATTTGAAGATTTTATTTTGCTTGTTTCCTCAGGTACAGAAGAATCTAATCTAAAGCTGACTAGCATTTTCCCCACACATCTGCACTGAGTCCACTAAGAGGATTAATAGCAGACACCAAGAAATAGGTTTTAAACATCTCTTAAGAAATAGGTATAGAATTATTTTGACATGGTTGGAAAATTATAAATACATGGAAGCTTTTGATACTACCCTTCTTTTTTACAGGAATATAGTATAGTTATATTTAACTTCAGATTTATACACTGAAATTGAAACTGTATTGCCAAGCAAACATGACTTTTTGACACAGAGTTGAACACTATTTCTTAGATGAGAATATCATTGTCCTACCAGAGAGAACAAAGATAGCAGCATATCTCTTCCTCTCACATATCTGTAAGTAGGGGAAAAACTTATTCACCTGCAGTGGCAGAAAAAAAGATGACATGATTCACAAAATACAAACTAATTTATCAGTCTTTCCCAGATCAAATAATGCCTTTTCTTATCTAGCTAGGATCATTGATGTAACTGACAGTCAGTGCTTTTCTGTTAGATCAGGGGGTTGAAATGGCCAGTACCTTTTAATTGTGTGCAGATTTAATCAGCAGGGGAATGCCTAAAACATTAAGAAAGAAAGTTAGAATTGTTTCAGGAGAAATAAGAAAATGACCATGCTCCTAGTAATTTAGTCTTTTAGGTTTAAGCATGTTTACCTGAAAAGAAAGATTCTGTGTAGATTCTTGAACCAAATTTCTAAGATTTCTGTGTCTCTTATGGTTTGGATATTCAGAACATTACTTTCTACTGCTTTAAGTTCTGATGCTCCTGATGCTGGCTCCTCATCTGATCCTGTGGTGCCCAGCACCAGAAGTGGGACCAGTTCCTGCACCTGCTTCTCATGCAGAGGTCTCCAGCAAGCTGGAGTTGGGGTGGTGGAAGCAGCTCTCATCTCTCTTGTTAACATCCCCTCACCAGCTTCTTTTCTCTCAGTGCTCAGGCAGGACATCTGTGTGAGGGGACACAGGAGGAAGTTCACTCAGGGCTGTACATGAGAGCAAACAGCCTTTGTGCAGCTCAAACTCTGTTTCACCTCATTTAACCTCAGGCATGGCATTGTTTGCACTGCTGAAGGAAATAAAAGTGGTTACCAGGGGGTTTGCGCCTTCTGTGCCTGTGGACACAATCCCAACAGAAGGCTCCTTCTCTAGTGTTTATAATCTAGAAAGCAAACCTGGAACAGCAACAGGCATGGGAGATGAAGAGAAAGGTAAGCTGAGAGTAGTTGTCTTTATAGAAAGGACAGAGGATGTGAGGTTTGAGGCACAAACTTGAGGAGGCTACCAAGAAATAAATTAAAAGACAGAACAAAAGAAAAAGAAGGAATAGAGGAGAAAGAAAGAGGGAACATAGAAAAAGAAGATTCTTCTCAGTGGCAGGCCGGGAAAAGCTCCTGAGCTGCACTGGCTGGAGCTCCAGCCATGGGGTGCAATTTCTTTTTTCTGCTGTTTGCCATCCTTCACTTGTGCACATTTTGGGAAAACTTTTAACTGTAACTGTAACTGTAAAGATAATTCCTTTATCTTTAGCTTACAGTGCTTAGGCTGCACTCACGTGTGCAAGTGGTTATTTTAGCCTTAGAAACTGTGGGCCTCAGCAATGCTGCTGGAAGGTGATTTAAATATGCAGAAGAATTGGCAGGAATGTATGTCTGTATGAATTTGGGGAGATGTAATGAGTCTGAATCAGTTACACAGGTTTAAACTCTCTTCTCTAGCTGTGGTGTGAGGGTTAGGCAGAGAGATCCTCCTCATGCCCCATGCTGAAAATAAAAGTGATTCCACTTTCTGATACTGAAATTACAGCATTAGTTTTATTCTCAACTTTTGATAACAAAGTGATAATGACCTGATACAATTTCCACAATATTTATAACTTGCTTGGAAAATTTAGATTTTAAAAGACTGCCTCCAACTAATTATTGACATTTAAGGAATCTTCTCCAGAACCAATAAGTTATTTTCCTTTTTTCCATTTATAGTACCTTTTACATCCAAAGTAGTAGTGGTTTTGAAAGCAAATAGGTAGGCAAATAATGTAATGTTTCCAATAGGCAAAATCTACATTTCAACACTGCATGATGAATCCACCATGAGCACACCACCAGTGTGACAGACAGGACGTACACGCAGTAAAAGGCAGTTTAAATCCAAGCATTTAAAAAAGTACATAAATTACTATTCTTGGTATTAGTGTCACTATTACTATTAGTATTTCTTTGATGTGGAAGTGGGGAAATGGATTCCATCCTGCTAACATTTGATAGGCATCTGACATCCCCTGAATCTCAGTGTAGCTCTTCTTTTGTCTTGGTAGTTAGGCCTTCACTAATTTAATAAAATATACATCCATGAAGCCAGAAGAAGCAGCTAACACATCATCTCTGTATTAAAGATTTGTAATTGAGAAATTGCAAACAGACCTGTTTCACTTACTTGATTTCACTTAACAATGTCAAGCCAGTCATCAAGCCTGCAATCAGGGTTAGGTTTTCCTTTGAGAGGGAAACTGGGTGAAAATGGGTTTAGTGTTGTAATGTTTTAGTTAATTCAGCATCCAGATAACATCAGTGAACAGTTATGAATTCCAAACCACATAAACTAGCATC